GCATGCTAAACATCACAAAAAAAAAAAAAGGAAGTTGTTGAGATTTTATATATGCTTTATAGACACATGACAGCAGGAGCTTTTTGCTTGCCTAGAGTCAAAGCAGCAATTTAAAAATACACTTGATGACAATCATATAACAATAAGCAGGGGCTTAGGCTGTGTTAATTGGCACAGGTTCCAGGGAACCTATTCCCATTCTGAAGAAGTAGATAGAGAAAATGAAGCAGGAACCAAGTAGAACACATCTAGGTTTATCTCCTGTGAAAGTTTACAAATGAAGTATTTCACAACTTATTAGGTTTTACCCTCATTTAATTCAGAGTTGCACTACAGTTGCTTCTGAAACACAAAACAACAGAACTTAAATTGCTGTCGGAGAAGCAAAACGGGCTTCCAAATCTATTTTCATCTTTTGCATAAAAATAGAACGTTCTTAACTTTATGTCATTTATTTCACTGGCTTAAAAGTAAATAATTTTTCCATCATTCTGGCCACTGAGCTAATACTGTCAGCAGAAAGCCAGGGTAGGGATGGAGAGGTAAGCCTGCTGTTAATTTTAAGCTGTAATGACTGCTCTATGATACATCTATAAAAGCAATTAATCTAGAGGTGGCAGATATGTAAACTTAAGGGCAGACTGCATTGGGAAAGAAGACCAATATGACAGCAATCTTCTTGTTAGGCAGCTGCCTCATTACTAAACAGTCCTCAAAATAACATGCACTACCATAAAATTAAAGATGTGAAAACCTGCAACTAGTGAAGCAGTTATCAGAGGAGGATGCTTAAACTAAATTATGCACTTGAAGTTTCAAGGAGAACAACAAAAAATAATTTCTACTATATTTAAAATCCAAGAGTTGCAGATCTATCTTACAGAAAACACAGACAATCCATGAATTTACTCACACTCAGTAAGCCTAAAGATGCATAACTCTTGAAAGGCAAGCAGCTCTACCTGACATGCTTTGGGGCTCAAAAACCACCACATCCTGCTCTCACTGCAATACAAACTACTATGTTGGGACTAAGATGTACTAGGCAAGGCATAAATTATACTATAGCTATAAATTATGCTGCTGGGGACATCTGTTTGCCTCCCTTGCAAAATGCTAGAACTGAGCTTGGAAGTCAGAGAGAGCTGATATTTGACCTGCTAATAGGGAACCTGCATGATCCCCATGTTGCAGCAGCAGTTATTTTCAGAATTATTCAAGTTTTTTTTTCTTAGATTCTTTATTTTTTTTCCAGTGGGTTTCAAATTGCTGCAGGCACTGAGAAGATTTTACAAAAACCAGACATGACATCCAAGTTTTAAACATGAAATGTACAGAATTCTAAAACAAACACGGCAACAGTTGAAAGGAACTGAGCCCAGAAAAACGATAAATGCTAATAAATGCCTACTATACATTTTTTTCTCTTGTTGAGAGCCATGGATGGCTTGAAGGCTGCAAAGCAGGCTGAACACAAAAGTGAAAAACACTGATTTGGTTATTTTAAGAGCCCCACAAGCAAAGTGGTATTAGCTCAGAAGTAAGAAAATGAGCCCAGGATTCCAAATCACTCAAACATTCTAAAAATGACTTCAGCCCCTAAGTTTACACATTTCTTATATTTAAATCAGGATGCTCAGGCTCAAATGAGGCAATGAAAGCAGCTTAAACCAAGAAAACACCTTTCTGGAAAAAGAGGAAAAAAAGGAAAAAGAAAGGAAAGCTACCAACAGGTGGCTACAAAACTACTGAACAAATTCATCAACTTTCAAGCTTATCATTTTCACTGTATTCTGTTTAACCTATAACTATTACTTTCTGGACTAGTCTAAAATTTCAGGGATTTCCACCTGCACCATTATTAGCACAGACCTTATCATAAGCCACATCCTTAATTCATGAGCTTTTTCTATTGGTAATGTTCCCTAAGGTGGGCCAAACACTATTCAAAAGGAAGAAAACACCACCCTGACAGAAATAAATGGGGATATTTTACTCTATTTCAAGTCTGTTTTTCATACATACATACACATACACACACACACATATATATAAAGACCACTAATATAAAGTGTTTTTTATCCACCTAAAATAAATCTCAAGGCAAAGTAAAAGAGGCATACTATGTTCCTTGTTCACCCTAATTCTGACTGGCCTACCTGGACAGACTTTAAGCATACTTAACTGTAGCGTCCTTACTACATTCTCGATAAAACATTAATTCCTTTGCCTTTTATGCACATTTTTTAAAGGGGGCAGGGTAAGGGAGAAAGTGTCATTTGCGGACAACACCAAGTGCATTTTTAAATAAATCCTCAAAATGTAAATCTCAATACTTTTTTGTTTGTTTTTCCCTTGTTCCGATTACACATAGGAAGCAATCCAAATAAGCCTCAACCCTGCTCCCATTCCACAGACATGGCTACAACGACGGAGCCTGGGTGCTGTACAGACACC